TATTAAGTAAACCTTTTGAGATGCGGCTGCGTCAAGAATAGAAAGCCTGCGACCTTATTGCTATAACGGAAACATGGTTATGCCGTGACATAAGTGACATGGAGAGCGCATTGCCAGGCATATCCATTTTTCGACGCGACCGACCCAGCAAAGGTGGAAGGGCGGCTCTGTACTTCCGCAATGACCTCCAATGTGAGCTCCTAGAGGATCCGAACAGCACGGTACAAGATTCCGTTTTGTGCCGTCTACGTTTAAAAAGTGACAACACTTGCTTAGTGGCGGTAGTGTAACTCCCTCCGTCCTCCACGCCCGAGATGGACTCCCAACTGGCATCCGCCATAAAGGGAGCGATAAACACAACGTACAGTCACATTCTCATATCAATATCCACGCTCTGGAATCCCAAGCTACTCACGTAGAACAGTTTAAGGCCGATCTACAAGAGCTTGTCTCCAGTTATCCGCTGTATGGTCACATCAACACTCCCACTCGATTCCGAAGATGACGATAAGCCGTCAATACTGGATCGGATATTCACCAACGAAGAACTAATAGTCGGGAGGGTCATGGTCGACGTCCTCTTGGGCCACAGCGATCAGGCAGTACAACTCTTCGAATACATTTGCTATGCATAATATCTCGTGGCAATTACCGACACAACGAGAACGTATGTACGCTACGACATATTAGTTCGACTATGTGCGACAGTCAAATGGACATTTGTGGCAGTCGAAGCGCCAGCTAGTGAATGGGAACATTTCGTCAGCCAGTTAAACTCCTTAGTTGCCGATGCGTCAGTGACTATGACTTTCCGTCCGAGAAACGTGGTCTCATTTCTGCGAAGCAGGACACGTAAGTGTATAGCGGTGCGAAACTCTGCTTGGCATAGTGACAAACAATCCCTGAGCATAGAGAACTGGATGGCCTATTCGACCCAACTTTACCACTGTAATCAGCTTGCTCGCGAGGACAGAGTGGCATACCAGCAGAAGTTAGCAGTGCGTATGGCCTCCAACTACAAGCTTCTGTATCAAGACGTCAAAAGTCTACTTAAGGTGAAACGAGGAATTCCTCCTATTCAAATAACAGACGGAACCACACGGACACAGAAGTAGGCGGCGAATTACCTGCGCCTACAATATGCTGCAACATTTCAGTGCGATTACTGGCCACTGAACCCTATGACGATGATGGTTTTGCCCCAAAAACTCACACACATATCCCTCGCTACAGAAGCTGTACTAAAATGCTGTTGAGTCGGCGCAAGCACAGCTCTCCTGGAGTTGAGAATGTACACACGAAATCCCTAGAAGCACTAGGAGAGGTGAGTTAAGCTGCGGATTTGGATCCATTTTTCCTACACTGTATTGAAGAAATGTACGTGCCCGATATGTGGAAACGCGGGATGATTACCCTATCAACAAAGGAGGCAGTCGTTCTAATCCAGCCACCTACTGTGGCTGGCTAGCCGATCAACCGCTTTTGTCGTGTCTGTTGGCGTTGTCGCGCTTAACCCGTTCCACCAAGTGGTGTGGCGGCGGTATTCCAGAATGTGGTGAGATTTCGCCCGGCAAGCGTTCTCCCTATAAAATGCCACACATGTCTGCTCATCGAAAGTGCGACGTGGCCGATGTGACTCGCCAAAAACTAAAGGCTGCCTCGTGAACATCCGGAAATTTCTATACAACCCACGGATATCAATCGCTTATTCTCACATTCCTGACGATTTCAAACTGTCGAAAATGCTGCGGCACATTATTAAACACAAGATACACAGTTACATTCATACACAATGGTTGTCGGCATCCGATTTCGGATTTGCCTGTCACTGTGACCTCCACAGCGACAGCCACAGGACGCCTGTGCCTACAGAGGAACCATGACTGGCTTGCGCTGCACCACCCACAGTTCCAACCACACACCACATATCCAGTGTAAACGCGAAGGAATAAGACCGAGAGAAAGGTGGATGGGAGCCAGGTTTCATCAACGGAGCCGGCCCACACTCCTGCACAGCAACCACAAGCACGCTGTATTTGAGGAAACAACTGCACACAAGGCGGTGGTTGGACCGTAGTCCGCTCCACGCTGAGTGGATTGTACTACGTTTCGAGCCTAGCACAGCCACAAGGACCGTGCACCCCGTCCCCTTCAGCAACGACCAACTGTCTCCTGGAGCCAGTATGGACGAGGTTGTGGGTAATAGACAGCTAGGTACATTGTCAATATGCACATCAAGCGCAGCCACACCGGGAATATCAAGCAACAGCCAATAACTTGAAATAACATTATCAAAATTAGCCTATGAAGTAAGTTGGTCATCAACGAATAAGCGACAAGTACACATTGTCCACAAATTACTCGGGAAATGCTACAAGCGCAATAAAGTTAACGAAGATAAGTGCAATTAGCGTAAGCAACGTGTGCAAGTTAGTAGATGATTATTCAGGGGGGCAGAACAAGCCAATTAAAGTGGAAGGAAATTTATCCAGGTTAAAAAGACATCGTTTAAGTGTAAGCTGGTTTAACCTTAACGCGGTGAAGAAGCATCTTGAATTCCACATCAGTCTCAGCATGGGACACAATGACATACGTGTATATACACCCATACACACATTCACTGCCATCCAAACATGTATCTTTGTATATTTTTATTCACGCTATGTTATCTTACCATAATCATGCCTGAAATGTGTGCCTCGCACAGTCGAGAATGAGATTATAGTTTATTTTTTATACTCTTACTACCGATGTTTTCAAAGGTCATGGAAGTCCTTATTTCTGATGCATTGACGGATACTTTGAAAATTTTTACTACCTCGCACCGGAACAGCATAATTTCCGCCGAAATCGATCTTGCAGTACAAATCTACTACTAGCACGATCTAGTTGGACTGAAGCAGTAGACTCTGCCACAGGAGTTGATGTAGTCTTTCTCAATTTCTCAAAGGCGTTGGACCGGTTAGATCATAACATGCTGCTTTTCATCCTCCAAACCTCTGATATTGGTGATTCTCTCCTAGGATGGATCAGAAACGTTCTTCTACACCGACGCCTAGAAGCACGTTTGCATGAATTGCTGTCAGATCCCATCCGAGTTGGATGCGGAATACCACATGGATCGGTACTAGAACCGCAATTATTTCTGACCTAGATTAACGGTATTACACGCATCATAAGCTCGAACTGCCTGCTGTATGCCGATGACACAAGGGTGTGGAGGACGATAAATACATCATACTATATCACAGTGCTACAAGCTGATTTGGATAGGTTATACGCGTAGTCAATGGAACAATGGAACAATGGAACAATGGTTTATGATGGGTTTAAAAGCAATGCTTGACAGGTCCCCTAGGATGATGAGAATTAACATCGTAAAATTAAAAGTCGTATCGATGAAAGTACGTGTGACATGCATGACTCACCAAGAGATTGGAGATGCACATAAATAAGTAATCCAATAGGAATTTTAAGTGGATTCCGTCCACGTCCGTTGTTCACTAATACCATCATCCGATGATCGCACGTTATATCACATAGTGCAATCGTGTCAGAGTTTCGTCAAGGCGTTTTTTGAAAAGGGATAGGGTGGGAGCGTTAATTACATGTTCTGGAAGAGCATTCCAAGGTTGTGACACTCGGAGGGAGAAGAAATTGCGTCGACATTCCAGTCGACTGTACTGTGTGATCAACTTGAACTGATGACCTCTTAGGGATGCGTTTTGACTACGTTTCAAAAGGGAATGACACGTGTGGTTGGGGGTGCTCAGTATCCGGTACACCAATATGAGATCGCCTCTCAAACGACGGTAACGTCCACTGTATAAGTTAAGAGTTTTCAGCCTGAGTGGGTAGGAAAGGTTGGAAAGACCTTTGACGTATTTTGTCGCTCTGCGTTGTGCAGTATCGAGTGCAGTGAGGTGGCACTTCTGCCATGGTTGCCACGCTTGAATAGCGTATTCTGTGTGCGGTCTAACAAAAGCGCTAAGCTTTTTCGGAAAGATTGAGGCGTCAAACTTCCCAAACGCTCTACGCAGAAGGCCAAAGTGTTGGTTTGCTCTCTTGGAGGCCTTTTCGGTCTGCATTAAGCACCCAAGATCTTCTTGTACAAGCACGCCAAGATCGCACTCATGAGAGGTCCGCTGTAGAATGTCAGGTCCTAAGCGGTAGTTATACTCACTCTGATGGCGTATGCTCAAGATTTTGCACTTTGATTCAATAAGGACAGATGTAATGCGCTTCAACTAAGGCAATGGTTAGTGCACTCCTACCATGGATAACGCGTTCCATGTGCTTACACGGCCACAGAAACCGGATGAGTCTCCAATGGTTAGAGAGCTAAATTTCAACTTTTTCTCATCGAAGGGTGCAGAGATGTGAATGTCCTTTTACACTCAAAACTTTGTCATAGGACGCAGCAGTAGATGGGCGATATATCAGCTCAGTAAGAATTGAATGTTGGCCACAAATGAGTACCAAGAAAGGACAATGCTTGTGGAAACAGTAACCCATTGAAAGGTTCGGGGTTTATGAAGAACGATGTATCGGAATTGAAAAGAGAACAAGAAAATCATCGGTGACAGACACAAGCATTCCCGGAACTAAACCGTACGGTAGATGTCTCAACATGCGGAGTTGCTGCTTCTGTTCAAAATACAAAAACGAACGCGAACACTTCACCAATATTGCGAATAATGAGAGAAACATGAGGACTAGGGAGTAGGGGCGATAGGGTTACGATGTACGGACGTGGTCGCACGGGGGTTACACACAGCGCAAATAGGACAGTAGTTCAAAGTGTCGGAATGATGAAACTAGCGGCGGTATAACAATAGTCCTCCGACCGGGAGAAGGGTTTGTGTGTGACGGATTGAGTACGAATGGGACAATTCGGAGACCGGCGGAGCGCAGAAACGTGCTAGGCGATTAGTAGAAGTAACGAAGCCGAACTGATTAACAGAGGGAAAATGGAGAGGCTAGTGCCACCACATGGTCGATCACAAATGCCGGGATGGCCTCAGAAGTGTCTGCGTTGAAAACCGCCTCCCATTTTCGGCCACATGGATCCGTGATGGTGATGACTCAGTGCAGGCCGACCGGCTTTGTTTGGAGGAGAAATGGGACGGCTTCGAAGAAAAACCGACCATCACGGCGTGAGTCAGTACGAACTCAAGGTGGCCGCCAAATGTTTGAAAAGTTGCGGGAGTGGGTTGAGCTCCGACGCTCCGAACAGCCAGAGCATATCGCCTTACCATCCAGTCGGGTAAACGCCGGACCACTTGAGTCGTGGGCGCGGAAAGACGAGTTTGGTCGAATGGAGGACGCAGAATGGCGCGGTGCCCGGGAACGATCGTAACGAAGCGCCTTCTCTTTGAGCTCAAACGAATACTGCCATCCAGCTTCACGTGCCTGAGGTTGTTTCCCAGAAGAACTAGACCAGACTGCTTTGTTGAAGTGGAATGCGACGGAGACATCAACCGAGAGTCATCACGATATCGTCTAGAGGCTCGGGGTGATAAAGAAATCTGGCGAAGAGGATGATCCGAAGTAGCGTCACGTTCAAAGCTGAGATATGAGTGGAATAGTACGGATGAAGAGTGACAGTACCGCATGTGCAATTGATGCAACTGATGAAACGCACGTAACAAAGGATATCAGCTCCCAATGAGAAATGTCGCCGGGAATGAGTATTTAGCTTTGGATGTGGAGCAGAACAGCACAACGCACGGAAGAAATTGATGCGGATACCAGATGAAAACTTGCCAATGTTCGGCCAAAAGTTATCGGATGTGCACATTGTGTTAGAGTTTATGAAAGCAAAAACGGAGGGCTAAAGAAAATGAAAGCAAGTCATTTTATACCGCCAAAAATGCGGCAAGGTGTGCACAGATGTTCGCAACTGTCATGACATCTGCGGACGGAAATCCGATGAAGCACAGTCCATGCGAACTGGCCATAATGGTAGGTGCAAGAAAACAATATTACGGCCAACGATTAATAATCTCTTTTTTTAGTTAGCCAATGATAGTTATTCTGGCTTAGATTCGGATGACGAGAGCGGTTCGTCAGCCTCCGTAGCATGGAATCCCGTCAAATAAAACTTTGTTTGGAATGTGTAATCAGAGCGTACGCGTGACGGTGTATTTTCGGGATAAAAGGGTTTCCTTTACCAAGATCTTTGTCTTCCGATCTGAGTAGCTGCTTCGTCGCGAATGCAAAACATCCGTACCGACATTCTGTGAGGTCAATGAACAATGATTTATAACGGGTAAAAAAGCAGGTGCTTGACATGTCCCGTAGGGTGTTTAGCGTGACAAAAAAAGATAGCGAAGAGATAATGGAGTCGTCAGTTCGGGCGCTTACAGATGTAACTGCACTGTCGTATAAAGGGAGTTTGAAATGAGAATGTACGCACACAAAGCAATAAGGGGAGTGGTTATTGATCACATAATAGGCGAGAAAATAAAGATAGCAAGGACAACGCTTACTCGTGTGCAAAAATCTTGGGTCGACAGGATACAGTAATCCAGCTTCTGTAGTAGTAGCGTTCATCAAATTTCGTGCAAGGCGTTTGGAGTGACTCATTCTCGAGTAGGGTTATGGCACTACCCCCTGTCTGTTGTGCATTAGTGCCAGCATCTGGTGGTCATGAGCTATAGCACGTAGTGTAAATGTGACAGGGTATCGTCAAGGCGTTTTTTGAAAAGGGATAGGGTGGATGCATTAATTACATGTTCCGGGAGGGCGTTCCAAGGCTGTGCCACTTGAAGGGAGAAATAGTTTCGCCGACATTCCAGGCGGCTGTACTGCGTGACTAAGTTAAACTGGTGACCTCTTAGCGAGGTGTTTTGACTGAGTATTAGAAGGGAATGGCATGTGTGGTTGGGGTTTCTCAGGATTAGGTACACCATTATGAGATCGCCCCTTAGACGCCGATAACGTCCACTGTATATTTTGAGGGTCTTCAACCTGAGTGGGTAGGGGAGGCTAGTCAGACCTCTGACGCTCTTCGTTGCCCTACGTTGTGCAGTATCGAGATGGTGCTTGAGCCAGGGTTGCCACGCTTGGATAGCGTACTCCGCGTGCGGCCTCACGTCCGCACTAAGCATTTTTGGAAATATCGAAGGGTCCTACTTCCCGAAGGCTCTGCGAAGAAGGCCGAGGTACTGGTTCGCTTTCTTAGCTGCTTTTTCAGTCTGCCTCGAACAACCGAGGTCGTCTTAAACTATCACGCCGAGATCGCACTCGTGAGAAGCCCGCTGTAGAATTTGTAGTCCTAGGCGGTAGTTTTGCATACTCTTGTGCCGTATACGGAGAATTTTGCACTTGGTGACGTTGAAATGCAGCATGTTCTCGATGGACCATGTGTACGCTTTATCCAAGTCCTCCTGTAAGATTGTGTGATCCTCCACTGCAGCTATAGTGCGCCATACCTTTAGGTCATCAGCAACTAGCAAACAGTTAGAAGATAACACACTCGCAAGATCATTTATGAAAACCAGGAACAGGCGGGGTGCAAGTACCGAGCCTTGAGGTACGCCGCACTGAACTTCGATGGATTCTGATAGGTTGCTTCGAGGTCACTGGAAATGTAGCATTCCCGTACAGAGGTTAATTGAAAATGTATAACGCACCCAAAACACGGTTCTACTTCGCCGGCTTTGATCCAATTGCAGTGCGTAGTGCAAGCATGTCAGCTGGCAACGTCAACCTTAAATATTCAACTTCAAGCAGACTTATTCCTATGTCCCATATTCGTTATTCCATTTTCTGATTACTAGTCTACGCTTGGCGTACTGTTAAACCAAAATGCCTGAATTGATTGAACAATGCTAACCAAACCCGCCTCTCACCCACACTTCGAATCAGCCTCCTTATCTGGTTGTCTCGGCCGCTATGCACAGCTGCTACGCCAAAAGGAAGAAGTACCATACCCTATTACTAACAGTACTAAGTTTAGCAATGCTATGGTTGCCACTATTGCTGCAACCAAAACAATATCTACTACTACTACTAATAATAATAACAATAGTAATTCTACTACTACTACTACTACTACTACTACTACTACTATTACTACTACTATTAGTACCACCAATAACTATACCGGTGCTACGGTTGCCACTGTTGCTACACCAACAACGACTACTGCTACTACTATCACTACTACTACTATTACTAATATTAATAATGGTACTACTGCTAATGCTACTACTAGTACTACTAATCCTACAAGGGCCTATTCACGCGCCAATTATGCAAGGGTATTCACCCTATATAAGGATCAAAGATGTCCGCACAATGGCTACTGTGCATGGCGAACAAAATCCATCTTCGCGTAATCCGTAACGGAAGCACTTGCTACTTCCTTTGGAATCATGAGTTGTGTGCCGTGATTGTGACTTAACCCCACCAGAATTCACTCGAACAGAGCTCCCTTTGACCGACGTTTCAGTTGCAGGCGGCGAATCAAAGGTAGACGCAGCGTTCTTACGCGAAGAACTGGCCATCCTGCTCCGGTCAGTTCGCAACGTCTTAGAGCTGACGGGTTGAGCGCGACCGCCGACGCTTACCGCAAGGCAACAGCGTCCTGACGGAGCCATTCGCTCTATCCTAGAGCTCATCTTCGTCGTCCACATCATCATCAATCTCACCCTCCACATCGGTACTGGGCGACTGATCCGGTTCATTGTCTTCCGCGGACCCGGAGCGCCGGCGAGTGATGGCGGAGTGGAGAGGCGTGCAAGGTCTATTTCATCACAGGTAGACCAATTTCCTCAATCCGGTTCGGCTGAAACCAAGTCCACCTCAGCTGCAATAGGTGGAAGGCTGAAACGGAAATAGTGAGGCCTACCATGAGTGACACACCTAAGTGGCCCGACACAAACAACAACTGATCAGCTGTAGTATCCACCTCCACTATAACTAAACAATATTTTCGATAGCGTTAGTCGACTTCTATACCGTTCGTTTCTGGTCCGTAGAACAATGGGTAAAAAATCAAGTGGTTGCCAAATCCCGTGAGATGGCCAAAATAAGAACCCTCAAATGCTCCGTTTGCCACGCTATACCGTCTGTCGGTGTACACTGGCTATATCTGGTAATGTAGGTGGTTTAGGGGAAGTTCAAGGCGTTTTATAACGACAGATACAGTGGGGCCAAAAACAAGCTAATTCAAGACAGCTTTCTAAGGCTACCACACTAGGAGGGACCAAAAATTTCGGTGACATCAGCCGACTATGTTGCCCTTCCAACTTGACGTGGTAGTGCCTGAGGTTCGTATAGTCGCCAAGTGGCAGTAGGAAGTGTCAGACGTCTTAGGGGTTGCTCAGAATCTGGTAGGGCATTATTAGGTCGTCATGTAGGCGCCGATACCGCTGTATACCCTTCGAGTACTGAGCATAAGTTGGGGACGATGAAACAATCCTTTGACGTGCTTATTGCATCCTTGCTGTGCAGTCCCGAGCGCTGCAAGATCTTGCTTAATCGTGACTGCTAGGCTTGGATTGAGTAATCCACATGAGGCCGCACGTATGCGTTCAGCAATCACAAACAGACAGACGGATCAAACTGCCCGAATGTACTCCGCAGCATGCCAACTTT